ACCCCTCACCCAGCTCCCAAGGCTTAGGGAATCCCATGTCATGATGGAAATAGATGTTTGGGGAGGGGAGGTGGCAGTGACTGGAACTCGGGAGCAGGTGAGGTCCTTGGTCGGAAGCCAAACCTGGCCAAGAGGCCTGTCCTCAGAGGCTTGTCTAATCCACATGACCAAGCAACCCATAAGGCAGTGGCCCAGGCCAGAGTCGGAGACTCACTTCCTGTTTTCCTCATTAGCCATGCTATGGGCCTTGCCTCTCCTTCCCGGTAGATACCTTGGGCCTCTCTAGCTCCCTGGGCCTCTTTGGGAGACAGGGACGCCCCCGCCCCCGCCCCAACCCCTGCAAGGCCTCCAGCTGGCCTCCAACTGGCTGCTGCCTAGCCTGCACAAGCCTCAGTCACCTGGTCTGTAAAATGGACACACACACACACACACACACACACACACACACACACGGCTGCTGAAACCTAAATGCAAAGCAGCACATGCCCAGCACACAGTGAAGTGCACGGGGCAGCCTGGCAAAGACCGTGGGGAGCCACCCACCTTCTCTCTTGGAGAGCTGCGTGCAGGCTGCTGGAGAGGCAAGTTCAGAGGGCGGCCATTGCTCTTAGCAGCACGTCTTCCCTGTTCAGCCCCAGAGGCTGCCAGGGGCAGTTGAGGCCGGGGCCTTGGGGTGGGGTGGCCAAGCAGGTGCAACGGCTTGTTTATTGTCCCCTGCCTGGAACACAGTGGTCTCTGTGCCGGACCATATATCTCAGTGGACATCTTTGCTGAGATTTATCACCCTGCTCCTGCTGGCTGTGGCCTGTGGGAAGGTAAAAAATGTCCTTTTTGAGGCAATAAAATATAAAACGGAGCCCAATTTCTCTCCAGGGTGGAGTCATTAAGTTTGACAATAGCTGAGGAGTGTGCAGCTGGGAAGGGTGGGTCGACGGGCCTGGGGTGAAGGGTAACTCTTACAAGTGGGAGATATCGTGAGTCACCACGGTGGGCCTGGAAGGGGCCCCTGACCAGTGATGCCAGCCCACAGACTCGATGGCAGCGAGTTTGACTTTGTTTTGAGCTTTGAGGTCTCCATGCCTTCTGATCTTGACATTGACCTAGACCAGCCCCTGGCAGGGAGAGCCGAGAAGGCTCCCTATTTGCCTTCACTGGCACATTGCAGAGGGTGTAATAACCACTGCTCAAGTCCACGGAAGTGTGGTGTGTGAAAGGAGTTTGGATCTCATCCAGGGAGCACCAGGGAGCCACGTTTTCAGGCTATACGAGGGAGCTTCGAAAAGTTCAAGGGAACGTGGAATGAAAAAGATAATGGGGTTTTCTTGGGAACGTTTGAAGCCCCCTCCTATGTGTGCGTCTTTATATTTTTTGAGAGGTAACTTACAGAGCGAGGTGTACAAATCTTCAATGCAAAGCTTGATTTTTTTCCCATATGTACACATGCCTAGAACAGCCAGTCAGAACAAGACCCAGAGAGCATATGTAGGCAGACAGGGGGCTGACTGGGGGTGTGACTGGCTCATGGTTACGTGCAACCAAAGTGTTGCCCAGTCTATTTATTTCCTACCTGGGTTGACCAACAAGGAGCCCTGGTGGCATAGTGTTGGGCTGCAATCTGCAAGGTCAACAGTTTGAAACTACCAGCCGGTGCTTCCGACGTCCATGAACGGTTACTGTCTCAGAAACTCACAGGGGCAATTCTACCCTGTCTAATAGGGTCGCTATGAGTTGGCATTGACTGGATGGCAGGGAGTGTGGTTTGGGAGTTTTAGATTTACCTCATACTAGCCTCCTGCCATATTTATTTGATTATTTCCTTTTACCTTCTTTCCCCCAAACATATAGAAGTCAAAGACACGATGATGCGTTCACCCCAAATACTTCAGCACCCGTCTCCTAAGGTCAAGGACATTCTCCGATATAACCATGATGTCATTATCACACGTATGATAGTTACATAATTTCATGTCAACTTGATAAATAGAGTGAAGGGGTGGAGGTTACCTTGTCACATCAGGTCACAGCCTGATGATGCTTTCTGGTGGGCATGGCCTTCTCATGAGGATTCTGGGAACTTCCTCTCTTTCTCCCTGGAGGGGGGCCACACTCTCTACCTCACCTTCCTGTTGAGGAACCATGTGGGTGGAGACCCTCCCCAGCTCTAAGATGCTTCCCTGCCACTGGATCCATAAGACTTCCACTCACTGGCCTGTGATCTTCCTGCATTCAGCATTATTGGATGTGCTGCGTGAGTCTAAAGAGGAATTCATGGACTAGTATTGGACATATGGGCTAATATCAGAATTATGGGCTGGATCTGGACTGGGCTGTTTTCTGAATATACAATTGCTCTTTGATATAAAGCTCTCTCTTACACACATATGAGTGTCCCTAGATTTGTTTCTCCAGTCAATCCAGACTAACACAACACCCAAGTTACATTTCAATAGAGTTGTAGCAGTATCATCTAGCACAGCCCATTCGCTGTCCAGGTTCGAGATGCCCTGCCAGCTGCTTTATGAATTGTTTGAGATCTGGGTTCTAGCTCGGATCGTCCCAGCAGATGGTCCACCTCTGAGGTTTCAGGCCCCGTGCAGCAGTTAGCTGCGCCTTTAGTTAAACACGTGGTGAATATGGTAGTGTAAGGGACTTCAGTACTCAGTTGAGACAGCCTGTACTTTGCTCCTTCTTGGTCCTAATCCTGCAATTCCTCTAGGATTCATGATGAACTGGTAGATTGTTGGTGTCTCCCGTTAGAAGTTCAGATGAGCCCGGAAGAGCAGGACTCAGATCACAGTCCCTGAAACTGGAGTGGCGGAGGGGACACTCCACCTCCAAGCACAGAGCGCCATCTGAGAGGCAGGTGGCTTGTCTCCTAGGTGAAATTGCTCCAGAAGACCCCTGCCCCCAAGTCCTGTCTATACAATTCTCTCTTACCTGCTGCTCAAGGAGACCGATTTTGATGGACTCAGCCCGGTCTATCTTCCAGGGTGTTGTTATTATGTGCCATCAAGCCAGTTCTGACTCACAGCGACCCTGTGTACCACACAAGGGAGCAATGCCCAGTCGTGCACCATCCTCACAAGCGCTGTCATGTTTGAGCCCTTGTTGCCCCCACTGTGTCCGTCCAGCTCATGAAAGCGCGTCCTCTTTTTCACTGTCCTACTTAGCTTTATGTCTTGTGAGAAGAAGAGAGACAAAGTCTCACCATCTTCTCCTCTAAGGAGCACTCTGGCTCTACTTTTTCCAAGACGGATTTGTTTGTCCTTTTGGCAGTCCATGGTACGTTCAATATTCTTCCCTGGCACCATGATTCTCGAAATGGTTGGATGTTGACTAGTTCTTTTTTAGATAATGACTCGATGTATTCCTCCCATTTGTGTTTGATGCTTCCTGTGTCATTCAATACTTCACCCATAGAATCCTTTAGTAATATAACTGGAGGCTTGGTTTTTTCCCCTTCAGTTCTTTTACCTCGAGGCATGCTGAATGTGTTCTTCCTTAAAAACAAACTCACTGCTATAGAGTTGATTCTGACTCTTAGGGACCCGATAACTCTTCACGGGAGTAGAAAGTTTATCTTTCTGTGCAGAGCGGCTGGTGGTTTCAAACTACTGGCCTTGCAGTTAGCAGCCCAACACCTACCCCACTAGGCTATCAGGGGCTCTTGACCTAGCACTCAGACTCACTGGCATGGAGTCAATTCTGAGCCTACAGAACAGGATAGAACCGGTCCTGTGGGTTTAGTACTCAACAAAGAGTCTCGCTCTCCCTCTGCCCCTGTCTCATGAACGACCATACGGTGACAGGCTGCCAGAATCAACCCACGTTGCTTGAACAAGGATTAGACAGGTTGGAATTCTAAGTGCCAGCTTAGGAGGAGCTAGGCTAAGTTCAGATCTCTGCTTCACCTCTTCTCTGCTGAGTGACTTTGAGAAAGTGGCTTCCCTTCCCTGTGCCTTGGCTGTCATATCTGCATATTGTGATCATCTGCTGTGTTGGGGGATTATGCCAATCAAATGAATTAATATGCACAAAGGACTTAGAACAGAAGGTGGCTGGGTTGCAAGCCACTGCGCATACTTTAGTGATTTTTGTCACATTGTTATTCTGGATGTCTGTGGATCAAAGCTGTTCTTGCCACGCACTTTTCCACGAGCCTCCTGGGCAGCATGATTCCATCTGCAATTGGGAAACCTGCCAGATCTGGATCTCTGTAGTGAGATTACCCCTCTAGGCTGAGGCGGGGGTTGCAATGTTTGGGGGAAGTTGCACTGAAATAGGAGTCAGGAAACCTAGACTGGAGTCCTGGCTTTGCCACTAACGCGCTGGGTGATCTAGGACCAGTAATGGCCCCTCTAGGGCCCCAAACCCCTCCTGTCCTCCATCCCTCCTTCCCCGCTCCTGCCTTCCACTTTCCTGCTCTCTTTCAATTGTTGATTTGAAGTTTTCTCCCCTCTCATTCCATCCCCACCCCACCCCCCACTTATTAGTTTGGGACTGTAACAAACCAACTAAAATGTTTGATTCTCTTTTAATTGCCCTAGGAATTAAACTCACATTTAAGTTATCATTGTCATCTACCATTTGTCCTAATTCTTCACCCCAACAATTCCAGGGCCTTAAAATGAGTCAACTTGAGTCCTACCCCCTTTTGATGGGTAGGCTGCTGCCCTGCTGTGGTTTCTCCTTTGTTCCTGTTGAACCCCATCAATTAGACCTGTTAAACGGTCCGATGTTCGCTTCCATTCATGTGGGGTTTCCCCCATTCTCTTCGTCTCACGCTTATTTTTTGGATCTCAGACCTTCCTGCTGGGACCATGCTGCTTTGTCCCGAAGTCCGTGTCTCAGCACTTCCTGCAGTGGGGATGCTGGCGGCAAGCTCAGTTGTTGCCAGTCTGGACACGTCCTTAGTTTGCGCTTGTTCTTGAAAAAGCGTTTCCGAGTTTATAACATTTTCTCAGTGACAGCTATTTTTTTTTTTAGCTCTTTGAAGGTGCCGTTCTGCCGTCTTCTTGGCGCCCATGGCTTCTGTGAGGACTCGGCCGCCACTCTGGCGTCTCGGGCAATCTCCCTCTCATCTCTGGCCGCTTTGAAGATCTCACCCTTGTCAGCGATGTTCTGTAGTTCCACCATGGCACGTTTAGATGAAGATGTCTTTTTACTTCTTCTTCTTTCTTTTACTTATTCTTTTTGGGATTCATTGAGCTTTCTGAATTGGAGACTTTCATCAGTTCTGGAAAACCCTGAACCATTATCTCTTTGAATTTGAACCTCTGCTCTTCTGGCTAATACCTCCTTCCAGAACTCTGATTGGATACATTCAGATCTTTTCATTTTCTCCCCCACGCTTTTTCATCGCTTTGCTATTTTCTTTGTCTCTCTCTGTGCCTTCTGAGAAATGTCTCCTTATCTCTTTTGAAGTTCACTAATTTCTTATCTCGAGTTCACTGGTTTTCTTCTCAGCTACATCTTTTCTATTTAATTCATGGGACGAGCCTCTACATTTCCATGATTCTGCCTCTGATGTCTAGATATGTGGGTTCTTCCTCATGGTCTAAGATTCCTTCATCATATGCTTGACACACACACACATCCAGTTTACTTGTACGTGGTTGTGGTCTGTTGCCACGGCACCCACCTCCTGGACACCCAAGCCTGCGCCCTTCTGGTAGCAGCTCACCAGGCCCGTCTTCCCAGGTGCCTCTGGGTAGGTTTGAACCACCAGCTCAGAGTTGGGTGTTGAGTGCTAGACTGTTGGTGCCACCCAGGTACTCCTCAGCACAATGGGGTCCCAAGAGTTCATGGGGATACGGGATGGAAAGAGGATGACATTTCCCCATGAGTGTTCGGAAGCTCCCTCGTCTAGTGTCTATCTGATCGTTCCTAGTGTTTGCAGCAGCCTTGGCAGGCCTGATTCCACGTTGTCTCAGCAGACTCTTAGTTGCTTTCATCCTTGTGGGCTTTAGGGGGTTCTTTGGGGTTTTTTCAATGTGCCCTGGCACCTTTTTGGTGGGAATTATTGGTGGCCTGGGTTTAGTGGGTGGTTCTTCAGTGACGTTCGCTGCTGCCTGGTACCTAGAGCACCCTCAACATTGGCCGATTTTCTGCTTGTGAGTTATTTTTATTTTTTAGTGGTGGTGGTGGTTGGAGGATCGGGGGTGGTGGTTGGAGGGGGGGGGTGAACAGCAGGAGGAGTAGAATGAGCTTTGGCCCCAAACCTACAAGAGGGTGAACTTGGCGTTAAGAGTTTTGTTGTTTCCCCTTCTGCTGCAGCCCCGCAGTGTTTCTCAGCTCCTTGGGCAACCTGCGTCTCCCACTTGGCCCTGCACATGGTCCCCCGCCTCCTCCCGTAGGGTTTGGGCAGCCAGGCTTTGGCTTGGTCAGGTGCCTCCAAAGAAATACTAACGTTCCTGTGAGTTCACTGGCTTTCCAGGAGTTGTAGCGCTTGACCTTCTTGGCCTCTGGAGGGTCTTCTTTTAGAGATCCTGGTGGCGCTGGTGGGTAAGCGTTGGACCGTTAACCAAGGTTGGTGGTTCAAACCTCCTAGCTTCTCCCCGGGAAAAAAAGAGGAGGCTATTTGCTCGCATAAACCTCAGAAACCCTCTCTGGGGTTGATATGGGTCTGAATTGACCGGATGACAGTGGGTTTGGATCGGGGCCGGACATTTTCACTGCTTTCCCACAAGTCCACTTATCCATTAACAATACTCTAGGTAGCTCATCCAGCAATCTTGGTGTGTCCTGTAGGAGGATCCCTGGGGGCACAGTGGGCGATGTACTCGGCTGGTAACCGAGAGGTCGGTGGTTCAAACCCAGCAGCCCTTCCATTAGACGTGGCGGACTGTTTATGTCAAGAGGGTGGCCTTGGTGACCCAGGGGTGCAGTTCTCTGTCCTCTGGGGTCTGTATGAGCCAGATCCGCTCAGTGGGAATGCGTCCTGTCAGGAGGGTGTCTCCAGACGAGACTCTATCAGCCATATGGCCCTTGCTTTCTCTATTCTTCCTCTTCGCCGTTCAGCAAACATGGCCCTGTCTCAGTCACCTCGTGCTGCCATGACGGACATATCACAAGAAAGAGGGGCCTTCAACACAGAGATTCGTTCTCTCCCAGTTCACGAGGCCAGGGGTCTGAATTCAGAGCATGGCTCTAGGCGGCGGTCCTTCCTCATGGAGTTCAGCTTCTCGTAGCTGCCAGCAATCCTCGGCGTTCGGGGCTTGGCGACGCAGCCGTCTCCCTCGTCGGAGCCTTGCTCTGTCGTCCGAGTGCGTCTCGGTATCCGCCGGGGCTTTTTATGACTCGGAAGTGGTTCGGTTTAGGATCTCCCTTGCACTGGCACAGCCTCACTCACAGAACAAAAGAAAACCATCTCCAAAGACGGTCACATGTCCAGGTCCAGGGGTGAGGACGTCAACACATCATTCAGTCCATAACAAGCACCTATAACCGACCAAGTCCCGATTCGGCCCCAAGACACAGCTCTGCTCTGGGGAGCTCGCCATGCAGCAAAGGCTCTCACGGAGGGACTGGTGAGTGCGTGGGCCGTGGCACAGCCGGCACAGCCGGCGAATGCCCAGACACCACGCTAAACTCGTCAGCCAGTTGATCCGGAGCAGCTGCCATTCATTGTGCTCCTTGGCGCTGCCAAACACGGGGCCAAGCGCTGCAGGCACAGCAGCTGGATCCTCACCCTGACTCTCCCGGCAGCCCAGGAGGGATGCATCCTCCTCCTGAGCCACTGAGGATGGGAAACCAAAGGACAGAGAGGTTGGCAAAGTGACAAGGTACCAGAACCAGCCTAGGAAACCAGTCTGGCCAGGAGTTGAGATCTTAATCTGTGCCCTAAGGGATGGGCTCCCTCGTCAAGCACAAGCCCAACCCCCCAGGCAACCCTGTCCCCACAATCCCCTGGGCTCCCAGTACCTCCCAGCTCTGGTGTGCAATCTGGGTCAGACCCCTGAGGGGGCACGACTCCCCCAGCTGACGGAAAGATCTCCTCCCTGCCTAGAAGCAGCTCCATCACTTGAGGGCAGCCTCACTCACATGCGTTCCTTCCGTCAGGTTGGCAGGGAACAGGAAGCTGCTAGGGGAGGCGAGGGGGATGGGTGGATCTAGCCAGAGCAGGGGTCTGTGGCACCCTCCGTGGAGTGGGCTAACGCGTGGCGGAGGGGTGAGGATGAGTGGAGCCATGAGGAGTCTCTGGAAGGGTCTCCAAAGGATGGAATAGATGAAGAATGGGGCACCAGTGCGTCCCTGTCTCAGGCAGGACAGAGACAGGGCCACTTCCTAACTGGGGGCTGACGCCTTCAGGCTAGGGGTGGGGTGAGGGGAGGGAGGCTGCTATTCTTTACAGCCAACTCGATCTCCACTCTTCTCTCTCATACTACACGCTCCCTGTGTGTACGCACAAACACACGCACACTCGCACAGACGTGCATGTGTCTGTCAACAGGGCAGGATCGCGCCACCTGTGTCCTCTGCACAAGTAGCTCCGTGCCTGGCACTCTGCGCAGAGCCCCTTCCAGCTAACCCAGTATCTCTGCAGATAACTATAAATACCTAAAGGTTGGGTCATGGCTAAATCTTTGAACAATTATTTAATTGCATAGGTTATACCAGAATATCTGCTTCTTATACATGACAAACGCACTAAAGAAGCATGTTTTTATTTAAAAGAAACCGGAGAGTTCCACTTTCATCCCCCTCCCTTCCCGTCCTCCACAAAAGTAACCGCTGGCCGCAAACAGAGATGTCTCCCGCCAGACCGGCTTCAGGAATGTGTGGATTTGTTCTCCTCACAGAGGAAGCCAGCACCCAGGCCTTCCTACACACATGCTCACACGCACACACATGTCCGCACACACGCACCCCGAGCACCAGGCTCCTCTCATCCCACCTTGGCACCCACATACCGAGAAGCACCCCAACCATCTCCTTCTCCCGTTAAGCTACCCTGTGGCCCCGGGCTGAGGAGGGATTCGGAGCTGGATGTCAGATGCTGTCTCCATTGCCAGAATTTTTCTTCCACTAAGAGGGAGAAGAAGGGGCAGGGATCAGGAGGTGGGCAGAGGGTGGGAGCGGTCCCCAGGAGGGCCTTCCCCAAGGGTGAGGAGCGTCTGGCTACTGGAAAGGCTGGCGGTTCGAACCCTACGGCTCCACCAGAGAAGAGATGTGGCCACTGCTCCAGTAGAGATTACAGCCCAGGAGCAGTCTGCAGCAGTCTGCTGCACAGGCAGGGGCCACGAGGGATGACTGACCTAGGGCCCCCAACAAGGACATTTTCATTGGGAAGACTCTTTCCTAAGTTCTTCCCCCTCCCTCCCCCCTCAGGTCCCTCCTCACTACCCTCTTTTTGGGCCCCTCCCCACCCCACAGGGTCTCAGCCCCCATCTCCCGCTCAGATCTGGAACCCAGCATGGAGGTCTTGGCTGGCTCTGAAGGCTTGTCATGTCTACATTTAATGAAGTTTAATTATCTTCCAAGATTCAATGAATAATTATAAATCTTTTCAAGATGCAATCACACGGGTTCATGCTTCATTAACAGTGGAAAATCAATTGTAATTCTTCTCTTCTGAAGATCAGTCTGTTTGTACACGCACTCTCCTTCCTCACCCCACTTGTCTGCCCCCAAGAAGTACATCGGAAACCTGGCTTTTCCTTTGGAATTGATGAGCCTTGGGCGGGGAGAGGGATGAGAGCCAGGCCCAGGTGGAGGAGGGAGGGGCAGAATGGGCTGGAGAGGAAGCTGGTTGGGAGCCATCTCCAGCAGGCAGAGGGAGACAAAGCGGTGGGGGAGAGAGGAGACAGAGGTGCCTGTGTTTGCACAGCAGGGGAGCAGGCTTTATCAGGACTTTCAGGGAACACTAAGACACAGGGAGGTCCTCACACAGCCAGCCAGACCCGCATCCAATAGAATCAGGACTTTTGAACTGGTTCGATCCACTCCCAAGAATCGGCAGTTCTAACTTAGACGCAGAATCTACATTTTTAACTTCAGCCTTCAGTGTGGCTGCAGCTCAATGTAACAAAAACCCAAAGCCTCACCCCTGGGGCAATAGACAACATCATGATCAACAGAGAAGAGAGTGACACTATTGAGGGTTTATTTTTGCTTGGATCCACCATCAATGCTTG